GTTTGATATAATCTATCTGCTTCTTTTCTTTGTTGTTCGATAATTCGTTCGTTTTCTAATATTCTTTTTCTGTAATTCACGTAGTATGTTATCAATGCTACGAGTACTATGAGTACTATGGTTACTATGTCTTGGGTTATCACGTTAGAGTCTGAAAAGTAACTTGGTGTTATCGTTTGTGTATAAGTTACAGTTGAGGTGCTTATAGTTGTTAAGGTATTTGATATTGTTACGTTTTGGGTTACTGTTGGTGTTGGTATTTGGATTGTTGAGAATATTACTTGTCTTTCTTCAATGTCTTGCATTAAAGTTTTTGTATATTTCTTTTGATTTAGGTATCAAGTTTATTCCTCTATATTTATGCGAAGTATTCGTTTTCGCGGGTTTTATTAGTTTATACATTAGAGCGTTATTTGAATATTTCAAGTTGGGCGTTGATCTGTTTTGTAAGTGGGTTAAGCTTCGTTGTTCAAAGTATTACCTGTTATTGGTTTGTACGGAGTCTTCAAATAGTTTAAAAGCTTCTTCGTAATTTGGATTTAGTAAAGGTTGATTAAGTTCTTGTCTTGTTGGTATAGATTTCGCATGGGAAGTTGTTAGTGTTGATGGAAATGTTGGAAGATTGGCACAACGGGTTTGTATTTTATTTATTCATTTTTATTGTTAATTTACTACGACTAATATACTTGTATATTTGTTTTATTTTAATAAAACAATTTAGATATATAAAGCAAGACTTGCACTTAAACCATTCCAAATAGCGAGCCAAACATGAATAAAAACATAATATATATATTGAAGTAAATGCTAACGTTTACGTTAATTCATGAATAGGCATACGTCATGTTCAAAGAGTTTTCAGCTTTCAATAACCGATTTGATAATTTGCATCCGTGTAATTTACGTCACATTTAATCAGGTTGAACATTGAGTTTATTGCCATAATATTACAAATGTTTTTTAATGCATTTTAGGTTACAGAATTTTTGGAATCGTCTGTCTTATTTAAAAATGTGATTTTGTGGCATCAAATATAGAGATATGAATTTATAACATGGTAGTAGCATGTGAATGCTCTTGTTATATAACGATAATGTTTCATGTTTCATTATACGTTAAAGATTTAAATAAATACATGTAGTACAGCAAAGATCAAAAAGTTTAAATAAAAAACTTATATGACAACTATATAATGAGTAATTTAATCTAGTTTTTAATAGATAATCGATAATCTATAAAAATCGAATACAGTCAAACCTCCCTATAGTCACCCTCTATATAAGCACATCATAGCACATCATATAAAAATTCTCTTTATAAGCACATTTATTTTAAAACCTTTTATTCTTTCTGTGATTTAACGTGATTATAAATAAAATTTGGGTATCAGAATTTTCCTAAACCATATAGTTCCGTAACTCCCCGAAAAACACGCTCGTAATTTACGTTAATTTAGTGCCTACCTTTCCGGGAGTTCCCGACTCTCGGCCCGAATTTATTGGCCATATTTTATAATTCTGTGGTATTTTGCGCATTTTGTAGAATTCTGTGACATTCTGTGGTGACTAAGGGCGATTTTTGTAGTTAGCTGTGATTAGAAGAAATTCTGTGGTTTTCTGTGAAACACAGAAAACACTGTCCCTGACCTAGCCCCAATATGGACACATAAACAAATTTTAAAAAATTTTTCCATTACGTGACAATAGAATTCTGGCGGTGATGCTGTGTAGATGCTGGTGAACTACCCCAGTATCGCCACCAAAAAAGTACGGACACGTGATTTTTTTGTGGCGCAAACCAATCAGATTTCAAGATCAGGTGTAACGTAACACGATCAGGAAAATTCAAAACAAACGTTCGTTTTGTCAAAAATCGCTTATAACTCAAAAATCTGCATAGGAAACCACCTTTCGTGCATTAACAAAAAAATTTCCTTGAACGATTTTACTATTGGGACACCAAAATTGTAACCTTAATATAGACCCTAACCCAACCTTAAACGAACTTAAAGATTTTTTAGCGCGATCACGTGTCCGTACTTTTTTGGTGGCGATACTGGGGAAGATGAGGCTCAGAAACAGTTTAGTGTGTACCAGCACCCTTAAAAATCTGCCGACGATTATCATACCAGAAAAAGTAAAACCGAACCAACGATCTATCCGAAATTATGACAAATAACGAAAATCGTAAATAAATAGAAGAAAACCATGAAATAAATAAATCGCCAAAATGTACCATTGTACATACCAACGCCGCAACCATAGTATAACTATCAGGAAAAATTATCGAATCAATCGTAATACCAAATCGCTTAGGAACA